ATGCTACCGCATGGATTTATACCTTATGGTTGCATAGGTCATTTATGTGACGAAATTTTTAGTTTCCTTCTATGACTCAAACTTTTTTGGTAACATATCTTGCACTACTTTTCAACTCTAAATACATCACAGAATGGCCCAGAACGTCGCATTCTTTATTTTACACCATTCATTCATTGAATTGGCTTACTCTGAGAACAGCGAGCTGCTGCAGCGGCGTCACTCGACATCGCTATAGCTGCGATGCGCGCAGAGCAGTGTCTATGATTTAAGCAATGGCATCATCACTGTCTTCGTAGCTTCGTAGCATTGGTAAATTAGATTATGAAACAACATTCATATAGGAGGAATTTAAGCAATGATGTCGTTGCCGCTGCAGTTGAGTTGATCTCGTGAAATGAAGATGGAACAACATTCATAGTGGAGGAATTTGTTACCAGAAATGCAGGTCAAGGTGGACGAAAATGGCAAAGCGAAATCCACGACGACAGTCACGACTATGGATGTAAAGGGAGAGATGACTCAAGGCACTTGGAGGTTTCAATTAGGGTGAAACGCGCAAGGAGTGAAGACAACTTAGTAGAAGATTAGGTCCCTTCTTCACGCATCGTTGTAGGTGATGATGCCGTCGCAGTATTTTGGATCTGGTTTTTGCGATGGAATGCGATGATTATAGATCTGATTTTTACGGTGGTTGTGTAGTGATTTTGGTATGGTTTTGTTGGCTTTTTAAAAGTTGGTGGTGGTAATGCTGGCTATGGTGGTGAGGTGGTAGTGTTGGTGAGGTTGTGGTGATGTTGGCGATGCTGGTGGTTACAAATGGTGGTGGTGATGTCGATGGCGATGGCGTACTGGTGTGAGGTGGGGGTGGGGGTGGGGACGGGTTTGTGACTAATAAATAATATGTATGACCTATAAACATGTTAAATTTTGATTACGTTTATAATAGTGATTCACAATTTGTTAAGTTGTGATTACTTAATTTAATAATTTGCGATCGATAAAAAAATTGTGGCTTGTAAAATTTATAATTTGTGCTTACATGACCCAAAAATTTGGTAGTTTGTGATGAAGAAAGAAGTTGTGACCTATAAAATTTGTGATTTAAGATTGTGTCATCTATAATTGTAACTAGTACGTAATTATGATCATAAATTATATAATATCGTGACCTTAATATATTTAATTAATAAAATATTTTTTTAATTATTTATTTATTTAATAAAATGTAATAAAAACTTGATTTTTAAAATAATAAACCTAATTTCTTAATTTTGAAATTTTATTCTGCAACCACTATTCCCTTCAACAAAATCCGTAAAGAAAATGTTGAGTGACGGCCCTCTCATAGAAGGTGTGGGCCTGAGATCTTTAAAATTGTGACCACATCCCCTTTGTGTAAGGGCTATCAACCAAGATGTACGCCATACACCTAGCAAAACCCATTGTAAACAATCGCGGGCCTCTCTCCTTTGTGAGAAGGCTATAAAAGAGAAAATTACTCAAAACCTTAGTTTTGAAGTTTACAATTCAAAAATAAGGGGATAAAGTTTAAAATTCAAAAATCAGGTAGTAATTATCTATTTTTAAATTAATAAAAATAAATTCATCTCTCTCTCACTTACTCACTCTCTCTACAACACAAAACTCATGTATATGTCTCTACAACAGAACTCACGTCTCAATCTCTCTACCATTTTCAACCGCACAAGAACTCCCAATCGTCGACATTATCATCGGAGATTCATGT